CCGATAACCGCATCGCCGGCGAAATCCCGCCGTCGCTGACCAACGTGACCGGTTTGATGCAGCTTGACCTCCGCAACAACCGGATCTCAGGGCCCATGCCGAAGAACTTGGGCCGGCTTCAAATGCTGAGCCGGGCTCTACTGAGCGGAAACCAACTTAGTGGGCCTATCCCTGTTTCAATCTGTGGAATATACCGTCTTGTGGATCTGGACCTGTCACATAACGAGTTATCCGGGCCCATTCCTGAGTCCTTGGGCCGAATGAAGGTTCTGTCGACTTTGAAGTTGGAGTCGAACAAGCTTTCGGGAAAGATACCCCCTAGCCTTTTGGGGTCAAGTATCAGTGAGTTGAACCTGAGTCACAACATGTTAGAGGGAAATATACCCGACTCGTTTGGGGGTTCCTGTTATTACACGTTACTGGACTTATCTTATAATAACCTGAAGGGTCCATTACCCAAATCCATGTCTTCAGCTTCCTACATTGGCTACTTGGACGTTAGCCACAACCACCTCTGCGGCCCAATTCCCAGCTCCTACAGCAACACCGATGCCTCCTCCTTTGCTTACAATGATTGCCTCTGCGGAAAGCCACTCAAAGCTTGCTAATTTGTGATTACTGATTTATCTCATTCACCTTTTCTAATCCTCAATGTCTTTCTTTCCTCATGTTAAGATCTGCATGAATTTGAATTCGACCGCCCATCAATGTTTTTTTAACACGAATTTGATATTTCATTTCCCGATCGATTAGTTGCGTTTTTCTGACCGTAATCGTAATGTGGATCATGTGAATGTGATTTCCAAAATTTTATATATTTGCTTTTCCTCTGTGCATGCACGAAACGCGTTGCTTCAAGGTTGACCAAGCATGAATTACCACTATTGTAAGAGTTGCTTCTAAATTGAATTCAGGATGTCTGACACCCCCTTTCATATCTTATTACCACTATTGTAAGACAAGTGGAAGAACAAAATTTAAAAGTATACTACTATTATTTATTTTTTATTTAGAATCTTAGATATAGCAGAGTCATTAATTGTCAACTGCGAATGCACTTGTACGGGTTTTTTAATTTGAATGCATGTTGGCGAAATTGAGTATGGTAGACAGCGCACGTGAAGCATCGGTGAGAACATGAATGGCTGTGGCTTTTGCAGCTGCATTCAAGGTGAACTGGTGAAGTGGAATCTCTTGTGGCCAAAACATGAAAGAACACATTAGATGAAAATAAGGATAGAATCGAAAGAAATCAATCAATAATATACACAATGCAGTATGAATATGAGCCTTTGCATGAAATCTAGGGCTGATAGCTTAATATCTTGCCTTGGCCAGATTTCAATGAAAAAAATAGGTGAAGTTAATTTGTACTACTTGCGGAGTATATGCTTCAAGGTTGACCAAGCATGAATTATACTACTATTGTAAGATTTGCTTCTAAATTGAATTCAGGATGTCACACTCCCTTTCATATATTATTACCACTATTGTAAGCACGGACGGATCTAGGTTATGTATAGTGGGGAACTTGTCCCAACTACCATTTGATACACATATTTGTTATTTAAAAAATAATATATTTTAAAAAATAAAAATTATATTTTAATAAAATAAATATATATGTTTAAATTATATGTTGTATAAAATATAAATTTTGAGAAG